GTTTGATGTGTCGCTGTCAGCTGCCCCTGGCAACAAGCCCCGCCCAGAACCGCTCCTGGTATATTTCTATATTCAAACCAATCACTTGATTAATTCCCTGACCTGAGTTATGCTAACAATATGGTTAGCTTACTTGCGTTAGCAACATCAGTACATTGCAACATAAGTTATTGCTTATAAATCGATCAAAGTTAGAAAGCAAAACATTTCAAAGCAAAGTGATGTCATAGAGGTAACATTTCCCTGGATGGGGGGGGTTGTTACAGCAGGGGGGCACTGATTCATGTTTTTAGTTAAGTTAAAACTACTGTATTCTATAAAAATTTGAATTTGAACTCAAGAAAAACCGTTAAATTGACCCAAAACTAATTGACAGATGAAAACAATGTGGCCATATTTTCCTGATCTGACGGAGATCAAATGGCCAACCAGCAAAGCCTAAAGTTCAGGTAGCATGACATCAACTTTTGTGAGGTGATGAAAGAAAAGTTTTACTTCTTGCTAAAACATACTTTCTTTGTGATGCATTATCTGCAGAAGTATTCTGTTTGCTGGCAATCCCTGCATATTAACCATCTGTCAATGATCTGCTTACAAAATTCTTTATCCGTCTTTTAATCTACATGTCCAGTATATGAGCCCATGTTTGCAACCTGCTGCGACACTTAGGAGAGAGAAAGTAAAGCAGATTCTTTAAAATGTATATCTGCACCATCTGATAAAGATCTACTAAAGGGGGGATGAGAACTCTGTTAAAGTAATCCTGAAGGTTATTAAAAAGTGGTCAGAGAGGACAGGGTTTTGAGGAAATACTGTTATTATCAGTAATCAGTAAGTCAGACTGGAAGATTGTTGCTACTCCTCCTCCTCGCCCAGAACTTCTGGGGATGTGAAAATTTAAATAGCTTGAAGGAGTTGCCTCATTTATGCTCACATAATCCTCTTGCTGCAGCCAGGTTTCTGTCAGGCAATACAAGTCAATGTGATTATCACAAATCAAGTCATTAACTAGTAGACTTTTAGAGGAAAGCGATCTTATGTTAAAC